CGGCTGTGAGCTTCATCTGCTGCTGCTTGAGTGCCTCCAAAGATTCAAATTCCAATCTGGCCAGTTTCATCTGGATATGCCGTGGCTTATCAGGTATGACAAATGCAAGGATGAACTTCAAAGCCAGGAGCATGTGCTCCACAGCCAATGGCTGAGTAATATTCCACGGGGTATATGTACCACAGCTTCCTTATCCATTCGTCTGCTGATGGGCATCTAGGTTGCTTCCATGACTTTTATTTCCACATTTTGGCTGTTATGAATGATTCTATAAACATTCATGTACAAATTTTTGTGAGCATGTTTTTCTCTCAGGTTATTAGACTTGCTGGGTCGTATGGTAACTGAGGAGCTGCTCCCGTCTTCCAAGGTGGCTGCCGTCTCACACTCCCAGCAGTGTACAAGGGCTCCGATTTCTCCACATTGCTGCCGACAGTCTAGTAATTGTGAAGTGGTATCTTTTTTTCCTTCCCCAACTTTTACTGAGGTATTATTGACAGATAATTGTATAGTTAAGTGTACATTGTGACTGGATACATTATGAAAGCACCCATCAAGTGCTTCTTTGTTTGAAAACATTTTAAGTTCTACGCTCTTAGCAAATATCAACTCTATAATGCAGTGTTTATGAACTAGTCACCATATTATGAAGAATTGATGCTTCTGAACTGTGGTGTTGGAGAAGACTCTTCAGAGTCCCTTGGACCGCAAGGAGATCCAACCAGTCCATCCTAAAGGAGATCAGTCCTGAGTGTTCACTGGAAGGACTGATGTTAAAGCTGAAACTCCAATACTTTGGCCACCTGATGCGAAGAGCTGACTCATTTAAAAAGACCCTGATGCTCGGAAAGATTGAGGGCAGGAGAAGGGAACGACAGAGGATGAGATGGTTGGATGGCATCACTGACTCGATGGACCTGAGTTTGAGTAATCTCCGGGAGTTGGTGATGGACAGGCAGGCCTGGCGTGCTGCGATTCATGGGGACGCAGTGTCAGACACGACTGAGCAACTGAACTGAACACCGTATTATCTTCAGATACTCAATAGTTGAAAGTGTGAAGTGGTATCTCAGGGTATATATATATATATTTTTCATGGCCAAGCTGCACAACCTGAGATGGAAGCTGGGCCCTTGCACTGGAAGTGTGGAGTCCTAACCACTGGACTGCCATGTTCTTTGAAGAAAAGTGATTAATTTTGGTAAACCCAATATGCCCATTTTTTGTTGAACACCTTTTTGGTGTCATATTTAATAATTTCTTGCCCAACTCAAAGTCATAGACATTTACCCATTTTCTAAGTGTAATTTTACTTGTACATTTAGGTATTCAACACTTTAGTTGTTAAGTAATTTGGGGAATACCATGCTGTGTTAAATCTTTAAATTCTTAAAAACAGGATGTTTTCCTATTTGGCACTTTAATTTCTTCTGAGTCTCTCCCCAGACCACACGATTGCACTCATCTCACATGCTAGCCAAGTGATGCTCAAAATTCTCCAAGCCAGGCTTCAACAGTATGTAAACCGTGAACTTTCAGATGTTCAAGCCGGATTTAGAAAAGGCAGAGGAACCAGAGATCAAATTGCCAACATCCACTGGATCATCAATTAAGCAAGAGTTCCAGAAAAACATCTGCATTATTGACTATGCCAAAGCCTTTGACTATGAACTGTGGAAAACTCTTCAGGAGATGGGAATACCAGACCACCCAACCTGCCTCTTGAGAAATCTGTACACAGGTCAAGAAACAAGTTAGAACTGGACATAGAACAGACTGGTTCCAAATCGGGAAAGGAATACATCAATGCTGCATATATTCACCCTTAGTTAACTTATACGCAGAGTACATCATGAGAAATGCTGGCCTGGATGAAGCACAAGTTGGAACCAAGATTGAAGTGTCAGTAACCTCAGTTATGCAGATGACACCACCCTTATGGAAGAAGGCAAAGAACTAAGAGCCTCTTGTTGAAAGAGGAGAGTGAAAAAGCTGGCTTAAAACTCAACCTTCAAAAAAAAAAAAAACTCAACATTCAGAAAACTAAGACCATAGCATTCAGTCCCATTTAGTTCAGTTCAGTTGCTCAGTCATGTCCGACTCTCTGCAACCCCATGAATCACAGCATGCCAGGCCTCCCTGTCCATCATCAACTCACTGAGTTTACTCAAACTCATGTCCATCAAGTTGGTGATGCCATCCAGCCATCTCATCTTCTGTCGTCCCCTTCTCCTCCTGCCCCCAATCCCTCCCAGCATCAGGGTCTTTTCCAATGAGTTAACCCTTTACATGAGGTGGCCAAAGTATTGGAAGCTTCAGCTTCAGCATCAGCCCCATTACTTTCTGGCAAACAGATGGGAAACAACAGAAACAATGAGACTATTTCTGGGGGCTCCAAAATCACTGCAGATGGTGACTGCAGTCATGAAATTAAAAGATGCTAGCTCCTTGGGGAAAAAAAGCTATGACCAACTTAGGCAGCATATTAAAAAAGCAGAGACATTACTTAACCAACAGAAGTCCACCTAGTCAAAGCTGTGGTTTTTCCAGCAGTCCGGTATGGATATGAGAGTTGAACTATAAAGAAAGCTGTGCACCAAAGAATTGATGGTTTTGAGCTGTGGTGGTGAAGACTCTTGTGCTGCAAGGAGATCCAACCAGTCCATCCTAAAGGAGGTCCATCCCAAGTATTCATTGGAAACAACTGATGCCGAAGCTGAAACTCCCAATACTTTGGCCTCCTGATGCGAAGAACTGACTCATCTAAAAAGACCCTGATGCTGGGAAAGATTGAAGGTAGGAGAGAGGGAAGACAGAGGATGAGATGGTTGGATGGCATCACCGATTCTATGGACGGAAGTAGGCTCTGGGAGTTGGTGGACAGGGAAGCCTGGCGTGCTGCAGTCCACAGGGTTGCAGTCAGACAGAACTGAGCAACTGAACTCTCTTCCTCCTCTCATTCTGACCTCAAGTACGTTTGAACTTGGTCTCCACTGAGGCACAGGTATGAGCTTCTCTTGTTGCTGCACGTGGGTGCTACAACTCACAGGCAGTCGCTCATATGGAATCAATTTCAACCACCAGGGGTTAAAACCACATTCCCTGCATTGGAAGATGGATTAAGACCCTGGGTCACCGGGGAAGTCTCCCAATCCATTTTAAAATCGAAGACGGAAGGCATGCAAATTATAATATGCCTCATACACAATTTGTTAAATACCTCGCTGACTTGTTATGGCTTGATTTATTCATCATGAGTAATTACTGGTTTTATAAACAAAAAAGGAAAAAAAAATCCATTTCTATGGAATCTCTTTTTTCCAATCACTTTAAAAACAGATTAATAACATTAGCAAACTAAAGTTCCCTAGAATTTCTGCATGAGGAATGTTGCATCCTGCACCTCGAGGCAGAGGAGGCTTCCTTGCACTCACCATCTTCCAGGCATAGCTAACATTGTAGGCCTCCTTTCCAGTTTCTCTCAGCTTATTTATGTGCCAGGACTAAACTTGAGCTCCCCCTCACTTCCCTACATACACACTTAAAAATAGCAACTAATCAGTACAACCTTGTAAGGCAGGGATTCTTATTTAACCCTTTTATAGCTTGAGGTTAAACAACTTGTCAAATACAATAGCATATTAAAAAGCAGACACTTCACAAAAGTTCATACAGTCAAAGCTATTTTTCCAGTAGCCATATATGAATGTGAGTTGAACCGTGCTGATGAATTCTTTCAAACTGTGGTGCTGTAGACTCTTTAGTCTCTTGGACAACCAGTCAATCCTAAAGGAAATAAACCCTGAATATTCATTGAAAGGGCTGATGCTGAAGCTCTAATACTGTGGCCACCTGATATAAAGAGCCAACTCACTGGGAAAGACCCTGATGCTATAGGAAGCTAAAAGGGTAGGGAGGCAAGAAAATGAGACGGTCGGATGGCATCACCATGAGTTTTTAGCAACTTCAGGAAACAGTGAAGGACAGAGAAGCCTGGTGTGCTGCAGCCCATGGGTTGCAGAGTTGGGACATGACTTAACCGAGTATGTAACTTCTCAAAAAAGGTTAAAAATTATTTTTTTATACCTCACATTAATATGGTGTGAAAGAGTCCTTTAACAGCTTGTCAAATTGTAATGAGGTTCAAGAATGAAGGGGATAAGCAGAATTTATAGTAAATTACAGCAGTATTTCCCTTACACTTACAGGTAATCTGAGAATTTGCCCGTTACACTGTATATAAAATTCAACTCCATTTTACAGAAACTGCTCCTCAGGACAACCAAATTATTATATTTGGCAACATGCAATTCAGTCTGAGTGAAATACCACCCAATTATTCATAACCATAATTTGATAATCTTTTTGTAATACACAAGTGTTATACAAAATTCTATTTGCTTTGATGTTTAGTCACTAAGTCACGTTAGAATCTTTTGTGACTGCTATCTCATGGACTATATAGCACACCAAGCTCCTGTCTTTCCACCATCTTCTGTAGTTTGCTCAAATTCATGTCCATCTAAATTGGTGATGCTATCTCATCCTATGCCACCTCTGTAGCAATTAACAATTGCCAATCACATGGTAACTCCAAGACTAAAACTTATGAAGACTGAAGGCAATTAAGGCCACACCAGGCAGCATATGAGATCTTAATTCCCCCATCAGGGCTCAAACCTGTGCCCCTTACATTGGTCCACTGGACAGCCAGAGAAGTCCCTGAAGGTCATTTTTAAGATACTGACAGCTAAACCCGTGAATAAATAAGGCCATCAGGTTGATTAGTTATTAAGAGGCTTGGGGGGGGGGCGGGGATAGGGAGCTGAAGCAGCTCTGCCAAAAAGGCCTCAAGAAATATAAGCCCTGGATTATGCAATTTGTTTTAAACTTATAATATGGAATGACTTCTTCAATGCCACTGAGAAATAAGTTGCCGACACCTATGGAAAATTCTAGAAAATAGAAGAATCCTACTTAAAAACAAAACCAAAACATAATCCCATCTTGAAACATTTTTATTCAACAACAGGTTGATTCCTCTCTTTGCTCTTTTCCTCACTGGTTTTCAGGACACAGTTCACGTGATCCTGCCAATTAAAAGGAAACAATTATTCCAAAAGTCATAATAATTAGGTATCAAGGTCTCAAATATTTATCAGCAACAATCAAGTAAATGTTAATCAAAGAATGTGGCAGAAGTATTTGATTATCTTTAGATAAATAAGGGTTAAGCAGCACAAATAATTTTAATTTCAGACTCACCTAGCAAGTTTATTAAATTTTATTTCCATCTTCTACAAGAACTTTTAGTTACAACCAAACTCTTAAAAGGAAGATCTCTTCAAGACACTCCCATTAACTGGCACCCTCTGGTGGCTCGGGCACTAGAGAATCCACCCCCAATGCAGGAGACCCAGGTTTGATCCCTGGGTCAGGAAGATCCCCTGGAGAAGACAATAGCAACCCACTCCAGTATTCCTGGCCTGAGAAATCCCATGGACAAAGGAGCCTGGCGGACTACAGTCCATGGGGTTGCAAAGAATCAGACACAACTGAGCAACTAATACTTTTCAAAGGTTTAAGACATAGCTCTCAATTCTCACATTTCTCCTTAAAATTCAACTGAATTAAAATTCAACTGATTATGATAGCTCTTTATACCTATGTGATACCATGAACAAATGCAAATTTTTATTACATGAGACAGGTAAGCTACTGTCTGCAGCCCATTTTGTAAAAAAAGCTTTACTGGAACACAGTCATTGTCCATTTCTCTATATAATGTCTATGACTGCTGTTTAGCCAGAGAAGCAGAGTTGACTTGCCCTTTAAAATTGCCAACCCTCTAGTATCAGTGACTCCACCATTTAACCATCTGGATGAAAAGTAGAACTTCAAATCTGAATCTTCCTCTGCATTGTTGTATGGATGCAAAGAATATAGCTATATATTTTTTTATTAAAAACTTAAGTGCCTGTCTTTCCTGAGATTTTAGCCAAATAAGACTACAGTCAAGGCCTACCACACCTCAGAAGACTTTAAAAAAAAAAAAGATTCAATATTTAAGTAAATGTTATAAAAACATACTTGCTACAAAAAAGTTTTAACATAGAAGAAATTAAAATGATATCCACATAAGCAGTTATTTTATACCACCCAAGATTCCTTCTGAAGACAATTTTTAAGATGTTTTTTGATGTGGACCATTTTTAAAGTCTTTATTGAATCTGTTACAAAATTGCTTCTGTTTTATGCTTTAGTTTTTTGGCCCCAAGGCATGTGTGATCTTAACTCCCTGCCAGGGACTGAACCCTCACCACCTGCATTGTAAAGTCTTAACCACTGGACAGACAGGGAAGTCCCTGAGGACAGTTTAGAGTTAAGAATTTCAACTAACCTCGATACTGCATCAGTCTAACAAGTTGTGGCTTTCCTTCTTGATCAACTCATGCTGTGTGAAGTCTTGAGAACTTATATCCACCTATCATTAAAATAAAACTTTGTTATGATAACTGTTTGGCATATCTTAAACATCTTTAAACTGATTTTTAAGATGTTACACCTTATTCTGACATCAATAGGTATATATATTTTGGCATAGGTTTGGATTTCAATAGCGGTTTGGTTTTTTTTTTTTTTGGCTTTGGGCTTCTCTTGTGGCTCAGACAGTAAAAAGAATCCACCTGCAAGGGATAAGACCTGAGCTCGATCCCTGGGTTGGGAAAACATCTTAGAGAAGGGAATGGCTACCCACTTCAGTACTCTTGCCTGGATAATTCCATGGACAAAGGAGCCTGGCAGACTGCTGTCCATGGGGTTGCAAAGAGTTGGACACAACTAAGCAACTTTCACATTCATTGTTACTGTGTAGGTAAGACCTGGCATTGCAGTTATGTATCTACTGGAAAAAATCTGCATCATTAAGTGAACCCCTGAAGCGCAAACCCATGTTGTTCAAGGGTCAAATGTACTTAAGGAATTCTCCCTACCAGTAATGAAACAATTGTTATTCACAATTTATAATGTAAAAGGAATCTCAAGGAGATTTTTGAATTGGTCCAAAGTTGATTTTAGAGTACCATAAAATACAGCATTTCTCCACAAATTCAAGCCTTTTCTGATCTAACACCATCTTTATTGTTTAACATTTTTGTAATAAATATTCCCAGCTGTTTCTCTTTCCAACTCATATACACCCACACACATCTATTTAAAAAACAAAAATACAGGGGTATGAAGAGGTGAACATCTTAAAAATCAAACAACTTTCACCCCACACAGTTAAATCATTTAACCATTAAACAGAAACCAAACCCCCAAATCCTTAAAAGGCAGACTTTCAAGGAAGCTTACTTCAAGTGAATGAGCACTCCAGTTATCAGCCAACATCAATCATTCTTACCTAAAGAATAATAGGAAATAGTTAATATAAAAGACAAGGGCATGAAGATTTGAAATGCTAGTTAATTTCAAAATTTAAAGAGTAAAATTCCAGAAACAAAGATTGGGGGCAAGTTACAGCATAAAAAATAGGAAGAAACTTCATGGGGGGGTGGGGGTGGAATCTAATATCATTCTGAAGTAGCAGTAGACACCTGAATTAGAATGAGAACTGTATCTTCTTTGTATTTACAAAAGCCTATCTGTATTTTCACCAGTCTGAGCACAATGAAGTTTGACTGCAACCCAAAATATACTATCCCTTATGTGAAGGTATGTGACAACGTTTACCTTACCAAATGAGTTTTAACATCGGCTCTTTTCATAGAAAAGCACATACCCTGCTCCCCACCAAGTATGTCTTCCATTCTTAGGTGGACTGACCACCTTCAGCAGGAGTCCTCCAAGAGTGCCCTCCCCGTTCCACAGTACACAACAATGCAGTTGTTATCCTGCAATCCTATATATTTGCCTCATTCTTTCCCTCTTAAGTCCTCACTGAGTTTTAAGTTATGGCAGGGAAGCTATGCCTTATCAGGACAGCAAGGAACCTGAGTTTTTCTGAGGGAGAAGACATTCACCTTCACTATATATGCCTGGCAGAGCCACAGTTCACAAAAACCAGAAAGATCAGCCTTAATCCAAATTCCAGGTTTTTCTTCCTCCCTGATTATCAGAGACTGCCAAGGGTATATGAAATAGTTCCCTGTTGCACATGTACCATCCATAAGGGATACTATATCGTTTTGCATTCTTCCTCCATTCTCCAGATTATCCTATTCTGCATCCAGCCCCCCTTTCACCCTCTGAATAAAATCTTTTCAGCACTGGTGTTCAAAAGCAACATTTATGTTTGATGGTTTACCAACAACTGTGATTTCCACAGTTGAGTCTTAGAAATTGCCAATCATTATCTAGCAGCAATGACAGATGATTAGGAGCAGCCAAATCCTCTGAATTCTTTCCCTAACAGGCAGCCATTTGAGAACTGCACTAGCTGACAGAGCACTGAAACGTTATCAGCTAAAGCCCAAACCAAATAAAGGCCCAGAACAAACATCCCAGCTCTCTAAAACCTATCCAAAATCATTACTGTTAAAGCAGTAAATGCAGGACTGTGGATCATGTCACTGCAGCTGACAATGATTAACAATAAGAAACATGCAACCCCCATTAAGGTTAAAAGTCCAAAACTAGTCACACGCATCTCTTTATCGGGAAAAATGAGACTATTATGCATTCTTTGTAGGTTTTGCAACCTTATATGAAGAGCACCCATTGCATTTCTTTCATCTTTCATAAAGCACCGGTATCTATTCCCAAGGGCCTAACAGTACGAAAATGCATTCTGGCATCACACCTCTGAACTTGCGACCACTGTCATTAAAAATAATTTCTGTTTGTAATAAGAAAAGACTATGAAATACAATGCAAGCACCTGGGATATAGTTACTATTGAAACCCATTTATCCCATTTTGACTGATTTTTAAGAAGACCCTCTGCACTAAAATTCACAAATTACAGCTACATACAAATCAAAGCTAGTAAGAATCAACTTAAGTCACAGGTTTCTCATTGAAAGTGCAAAACCTATTCATCTTGAAATAAGCAGAATGAAGCAAAATTACCCCCCAACCCGATGATGTCCATATACCAAGTACATTCTCTCAAAAGAGCTATTGACTGTTAAGAAATAAACCTGATCTTTTATTTCTAAACAATCACTGAGCCACGGGAGCCAAGTGTTGGCTACCAACTTCATGGATTATGCCATAGGAAAACCCCATCAGAATTGCATGCCAATTTCGTGACACTATTGTCACTAATACTGAGCATTATGTTGGATGTACATTGTATTGCTAATACAGAGCTAAACTAGTCACCATTTGTTCTTTCATCTAGCAGAAGTCAAGTCATTTGGTTGAATGGACTACATATTAAAATTACAAGTCTGTCCCCACCATGTGAACTGCTTGCCAAAGAGCAAGCCATTTTTCTTGATACAAAAAGAAATTCTCGTAATTGTCAAGAGTTTTGCCAACATTTATGTGAAGTAAGCCAAACTTTCCAGTTACAGAGCAGAAAACATTATACATGAAAGCTATTTCTCATGCATGCTAGCTAAAAGTCAGTTCATAGACCAATGTTCAGTTGAATTGCGGTCTGGAACAACTGTCGATGCAAATCTTAAATCCTGAACAACAAAGAGGGTGCTTTTGAAGACTTACTATTTCGGTAATCGAACAGTTTGGACTGCAACATCTCATCCCTAAAAAGCTAAGGGAACCAAATTCAAAAAGCTACCCTGAACATTTGCAGTTATCCTACAGAATACGACGAAGTCTTACAATTGGGAAATGATTCCCAACATGTATTCAATAGGCAAGTCAACATGCCACACCATCTTCCCCCAGGTTTAGAGTATAGACATATTTAGACAAATCACAGAACTTGAACTATTCATGTTAGATTCCCATCTATGCCCCCAGTTAGTAACAAAACTGTTCCCATGGAGCCCATTTAAAAAATCTTCAAATCACATTGCAAAAAAAAAAAACTGTACTTTTAGTTTTAATTCACTCAACCCTGTGGAGTAATAGCCAAGATTACACTCTGAAATTGGTATTGCTGACCTGTGGGGAGGTCAGTCTGCTATAACAGAAACTATTTGTCACATGCTATATACAGTCTGTGTCAAGATGCTAAAAGTACTCTACTTTCCAAATATGGTATGGTCCCCTCTCCCCCACACCACTGATGTTATCTTCAGTTACGATGCAACTAAAAACCACACAACTGAATCAGATACATACCAAATACTCAAGTTTGCACTTTTTATCTGAGAACTGCAACAGCACTTAATTCTGCCTGAAAAATTACAGCTCTAAACCCAAACCCACACAGTTTTGATATAAGCTAGCTTTATCATACACGTGTTAGGTGCTGCACTGTAATTTCATTGTCAGAAGTATGATGTCAGAATGCCCACGGAATAAAAGTACATAGCAAGTCACCAAGTTAGATTATATTGCTTGTTACCTACCTGTATGCAGTCGGCAATGAGAATCTCGGAGCAAGCAGGAATACTACATCCGGGTCCTAATGTCCATTGCCATTTGCGGTACTACGTTCCTCACAGTTACGCACTGCAGAAATGCTGGCTAAATGCAGTTATGTAGCAGGCCACTACTTTAATAGTGCACAATTGCAGTCCAAGAACACCAGAAAATATTCCACCACAAACGTAGTGGCTTGCCCAAGAAAAGCCAAGTATCTAAATTTTTATCTGCCATGATATGCCACTTACAAAAATTGCACAGGCGTAACATTACAATTTCCCAAATTATTGTCTATTTATATTAGTGATATAATACATCTAATAAAGAGTGGTGGGGTTTACAAGTACTTCTTAGAAGTTTAATTAGTGTTTTAAGCGAAGAGGATTATGGTTTCACTAAACATGAGCCAATGGGTTAAGTTTCTAAAGTACCTACTAAATACACTGGGATCTCTTAGAGAATGCAGTTTTTAAAGATAAGGAGTAATAAGAGGAGCAGTTAGTTTTAAAACAATCAAGTGTTCCTCTTAAAATTATGAGAGAAAGTGGAGAAGAGGAAATGGGGGCAGGTGCTTTCTTTAAATGAGAAGAATGGCCAAAATACCTCTCAACTATTACCTTCCCTTTCCCACCCCAAGTTTCGTAAATCAGCTTTTAGGAATCTACTTTTTAAGATGATTTAAGTTCACATTAGGCTATCATATACACTGCAAGACTTGTTGAAAGTCTGAGTAGCTTACAACCCTTGATACACTGCTATTTCAGTGATAAAAGTCAAAACTTAGTTAAAACTAAGCAACATTACTTGCTAAACAATGTTTAGCAATTCTACACAGTAAGGCTATCAAAACCACAACTTTCAGGAGATAATCCATTAGCATCCTTCACCACTCTTCAAAGGTACAGTACTACGAAAAGCTTATTTTAGGGGTCTGTGCCAGCATCCCTTACAAAGAAAGGCATGTAATCTGAAAAATAAACTGAAACATTAATTTTATAGGCAGATTTTCCCATTTCCCCACCAGCCCCCACCCACACATTCAAGTTCACCCTCTGTGGGTGTCCCATGAACACCCCTTATTTTCTTTTCATTAGCGGGAGTCCCTACCACACAATTCAAATTGTAATGGACTCCTTTCAAATCAAGACCCTTGTTTCCAGTACAGAAAATCTCATACATTATCACCAATTAATGACTTGGGACAAAACTTCCTCCTATGACATAATTATGGTAGAACTACTCATTTCCAAGTGTCTTGGTGAACAGAAATAATGAACATTTTCGAATGAGATTCTCTCCCTTAATTAGCACACCAGGCACCTGTCAGTCACACAACCAGAATTTGGTGGCATGCCTTTATACTCCACCAGTATTTATTAACAGGTTCCCTATGCACAGTGCTCAGCTGTTTCCACTATAGGTTTCCCTTTGTACTCAAGCACAATACTAAACTTACTTCAGCATTTAAACAAAGACTTGATTTAGAATTTTACTTTTGCCAATTAACACTAAGAGGTGAAAAAGAGGAAGACATTCCACAGTTTAAGAGTTCTATAATGTACAAATTTGAATGGAAACATAGCGAAAATCAAAGCCAAACCATTCAATTACTTTTCCTACTTGTAGGAAATTGTTCCTCTGCTTGTATATACACTGGGAAAGCAGGTGTTCCCAATGTACTAACAGACACCAGTAACAAACTATTTCATCAGTGAGTCAAAATGTCTCTGATGGAAGGAGAGTCAATGAAGTTGACGTTAAACTGACAACACCATCGAAACACTCCAAAAGCTTTATGGTGGGAGAAGGAACATCTGCACTGTGCAGCACAAGCAACTCTCTCCAGATTTTGTGCCACATCAAAAGGAAACTATGAAAAACAAAAATGTTTGTAACAATGGTTCTCTGCAACCCTGTGTTATTAACAGTCACTACAAGCTCTTAGAAAACAGAACAGGTTTTCTCCATAGTCCTACAGATTTTGCCCAATAGAAGTAGCACAAGGAGATGTAAAAGAGTACAAGTATATACATTTCTAACCTACTTCATGATTAACTAAACCTCTTTTTAATTGAATTATTCACTCTAAACTCCACCTTTATAAATCACTTAAAAGTAATACATGAAAAGGCTTCATGTTTAACAATCTTTAATTCAAATGTGAAAGTTCAATACAAGCCGTTTGTAGGGCTTGGGACTCGTTTTTTAAAAAACAAGAATGGAGGAATGCAACAAAATGATCTTTCCACTTTTTCTTCAGCAACTTTCAAGGAAAGAATAGATCATAGGGCCATAAAAGATCCATTTAAGTCATACCCACTTTCTCCCCCTATCAATAGTCTTACACCCGTTCCATAATCTTGATACATATTCCTGAATGAAGATTTACAGTTCAGCTTTGCTTACATAGCCATTTAAAAATACTCAGCACCAGCTTGCTTCCTTGCCAAACAAATCAAATCATGAAACTACTTCAATAAGCATTTCTTCTTTTTAAAACAAGGGGGTACTTATAAGTAGAAAGCAATACTTAGCCTACAAATAACATTTCCCAGAAATGGCATATGCCATTCAAAGGCCTAGACACTCTTATGCTTTCCAAGTGGAATACCTAGCCTAATGTGCATAGAAGCATGAATGGCAAAGTTGAAGATCAATATCATAACTATTTTTTCTATTTATTTGAAGCACAGTAAAAAAAAAATTGGTACACTTTGGAAATTCAGTGGCACAGGTACACTGCCATAACTTGAGGGACATTATACAGTTTAAAAAAAAAAAAGAAAGGAAAAAAAAATCCCCCTGTTGCAAACACTGCATTACATAATTTTACCTGTCCCAACAGACCATTTACAAATATTAGGTCAATAAACTGCTAACATCCATAAAAAGGTTGCTTTCTTACTAAAATGCAAGAATTTAAAAGATTGGTATCTAAACAAGAAAAGACAAAAACAAACTGGAATGAAAGCCTAGATATCACATCTAAAATCGGGGTTTTTTGTTTGGGCCTTCATACTCTTCTCTCCCTCTACCATATCCTGCTGGAGTTCCAGGCCCCATTCCTCTAGGACCCTGTCCACCCACAGGTCCCGCACCTCCCTGCCCAAAGCGCTCAGTACGCTATTGGAACAGTAATCAACAGTTCATTATATGTAGTTGATGTCCATGTGTGTTAAGTAAATATTTTAGAAGGTTCCGTAGTCAACGTTCGTCGATACAATCACCAATGAGTCGATCCACAGGCACCGGGAACATAGAAAGGAAAAAAGGGTAATTTGAAAATTAGTTTACGGTAACACATGCCTTGTGGTATGTTCCCACTTGAGCCATTCTCATACACCTGTTTCAAAGAACAGATCTTCCCTGTAGTGCTAAGAAATTTAAGAATTAGTGCAGATGTGAAAACCCATTCCAAAATGAGTTTTAAGAAATTTCACATCAGATTAACCCACTGAAAAGCTTACAAACTTGCTTTCAAGGTCTGAACAGGAAATTTACTTTCCAAGTAAGCCTAACAAGCCCAACCAGACAGATTCAATTCACTCAATGAAGTGACAAAGACCTACTCACCAGTTAGTGGTATGTGCTGCATAAGAAACCTTGTGCTTTTCAAGATCTTAAGACACATCTGCTAAGTTGCAGAAATCTTAAAAGGTTCAAAGTTTTTAATAAAATGCTACCAGACTACAAAAAGAAAAAGAATAGAAGACTAATAGGTTTAGTCACTTAACCGGCACAGTAATTTGATTTAAAAGTGTTGCCATATTCTCTCCAAGTATATCACCTTCACAGCCATCACTACATAAAACCAGAGAAATTATGTTCACAGTACTGTTCTTTATAGTTGCAAATTAACTGAACATACAGCCCACCCTCATAACAGCCCAACTTTTCATTTTCCCTCATGTCTGTGAAAGTCCCGACAGTTATGATTTCGTGTTTCGGGTGTCTCCCAAACAGCATTAACACCAAGCTTAAGTGACTGCAATAAAGCAGGACTTTATTCCATCTAGTTTTAGGTTAATTCTAGTCCTAGAAACCTGTGATCCCAAACAGAGTAACCCTACAGATATGCAAGCAGAGCAGCCTGAACTATCTTTCAAATTCATATAAAGCAGACCAATTATTAAGAGTATTGCTCAAAACACAAAACAAAACCCCAAAACAGAACAAAAATCCAACAAAACCCCCAGAAATTAAAAAAGGCATCAGGGTTTAAAACTGTTATTAAATAATTTCAACATGCTTCCTACAAAATACTATAGGGCTACTTAAGACTAAATCCTAATCCTTCAAACTATTTCAAAATCCTAACAATTTTAGGTTTTCAGTGCAATTTCAGGTTTGTATTTTCTCTAAAAGGTGAAAAGGAAATTTGGGGGTTTGTTACCACATCATCTCAGAATCCAGGAGCTACATGTCACAAGGACTGTAGAATCTGAACTGTGGGAACATCGTGTCAAATAAGTTACAAATTTGATATATAACCTACATCTGACTATTAGGAAGCATATAAACCAAAATATAACCCACGTTATTTTTAAAATTCATTTTGAAGCTAACAGCGCTACATTTAACCCTCCAACTACTTATGATTCTAATCTTCAAAGCCTTAAGTAGATGAGGCCCCATTCTATATCCTTGTTGTTTGCACAACGAATCTAGTGAGCTATATGCTGCAGCTTCTCTCCCTCTGCCAAAGACTGTAGATGAGCTAATGAGATTCAGTTCAGTTGTGACAAAGCACTTTTCTCCAAACCCACCTCTACAGCCAATTCACTTCTTTAAGGATTGGAAAATCCCAGGATCACCACTCAGACCAATTCTCTTGGTTATTCTAAAGGATCCTGACAGGCTATCTGTACAGCTAAAATATGACACGATCAAGAAGGTTCAGATCAAATGCACACAACTAGTATGCTAAAAAATAACACTGACTTTTGCTATTCTGTAGCAAAAGAGAGATGTCCATTTATTTTAGAAAGTACACCTAAAGACAGGCCCAACAGGAGGGAAACGACGAGTCCGAAGACTAAACAATTCCCTTTTCATGGATAAAGTCACACCAAATGTAGGTCAAAGTCCTACACATTGCTAAAACATGCCTAAAGCTACAAGCTACAAACAAGTCTGATTCACACTTATGGCAAATACCAGCTTAATGAATGACAGCTTGCCATTTGATTACTCTCACTTGGATGTAGAATAATCAGTATCTAACATTTAGAATTTGGATTTGCCATGAGCTATTGTGCAGAAGTACACAAGCAATATAATGGAAAGCACTTAAGTCTACTTATTGCCAAAGATAACTCCCAACATACTACTAACAGTATTGACTTTTTGTTGGCAACCTTATCAGGTGAGGTTACCACATTGAGTTCTTCTATGTTGCCAAGGTATTCATCAATATTACGGATTTACACGATAGGGGAACTAAAAGAAGTCCAGTCACCTACTTAAAAAACAAAAACAAAAAAACACACACACGTAAGTTGTGAGAATGAGAACTTCCTTTTGAACTACGTCCCACAAGATACATTACCATGTCGCTTCCCATCATGGAACCACTCATTGTTGCCGGTGGAACTCCAGGATTAGCTTCATAACCTATGCCACCACCACCACCTAGAGGTGGAAATTTCTGGCCTCCTGAGCCATAGGGATCTAGAAAACAAAAATGCTGGTTACCACTCAATCAAAATACTGCCCTTCATTAGCATTACTAATTTAATTTTCATTCTTACCTCCCATGTTCATTGCTCCTCCACCACCCATTCTCATGTCTCTTTCTCTCTGAAATTTAAAAAAAAAAAAAAATCCTTTAGCACTCTTGTACTTAACCCATACCAAGCATTCTTAACTACCAAGAAATTTCCAAAGCTTAACAAAAATTGTTTTCAACTTAAAGAAAGAAACCCAATTAGGCAATTTTAAAAAGACGCCATTATCAAAAAACCTATAAAGCAAGCTTCTTCCTAACCAATGAAATCTTTTGGCCCACCCAAGAAGGAGGCAAAACTCAAGGCACATCAATCATAAACACTTAGGTTAAAAAGAAAAAAAAAAGGAAGAACAGCTACCATGTGGAAAGTCATATTTAACTGAATAAAACCACACCCTAGATATCCACAAATTCTGTAGAAAACTCCATTGCAGAAGTTTACTTACTGGATCCATATAGCCCATCCGACTATAACTTTCCTCTCTTTGGCGTCTCATCTGTTCTTCCATCTCACGTTGACGAATCATCATCTCTTCTTCCCTCCTACGTCGTTCTTCCTCTTGCCTGGATACATTCATTAAGTATGAAAACAAAAGCTTTTTATGCACGTTAAAAAAATTCAACTTGAAGCAAACTAGTAGTTTATTTAAGAGCATTACAGCAAATGGAAGGTTGGGACAGTGACTAGCAAAAAAAAAAACCCCTAAATGTATTCCAGCAAAGTAAATGAGCCATATAACAGAAATCTCTATTTCACAATTTAAGCATTAAACCAACACTGACATAGTATTTAATAACATCTCTGTACCTCAACCGACTCACCTGCAAAATTTAGGTACACTTAAACAAAGGTTTAACAAAATTGTACCTCAATTGCATCTCTTTACGTTTCTGCATTTCTTGATTGTGCAGTTCTTCCATGCGTCTTAATTCTTCCTGGCGTCTCATTAGATCTGAACATTGGAAAATTCTGTTATAGATTCACATTAACAAATTCTAGTAAGCTCAAAAGGCAAATGATCCTACTAGCAAAATTCAGAAGGTACTTTACCTTGACGCAAAAGATTTGCCTGATGCTCATGATAGGCATCTTCCATTTCACTTTCCAATTTGTCTTTTGCATCTTTCATGTTTTTTTCAACTTGTTCCCGCTGCTGTTTTTCCATTTCATCAAGGGACTTCCACCGCTGAGAATACTCATACTCAAATGTCCCATGCTGGGCAAAACGAGGAGGGGTTTCTCTCTCCCTGACAATATTTAAATATGAACCAATTTATGGATGCACACAAGAAATATATGTATTTGATGTCCCCTAAAAAACACTGGTCCTTCCACTGGCTTCTCACTTCTAAGAAACACTGGAAGGCAAAAATTACCTTGATTCTTAGTATCTCTTTACATTCCAGGATGATACTAGACAGTAACATGGGCAATGAAGATCAATCCTACCTTCCTCACTGTCCTAATCCCACTTCCCAAGCCAGTTTCAACTCAAAGAATATTTTTCCAACTCTGAAAAACCAGGTATCTACAACACATCTTAACAACTGTTAAGAAAACAAGACTGCATATGAAATGTACCTACCACAGAAACACACACTAGGTATTTGAATGACTGCTTCTAACTAGAGGTTAGAAACCTCTAGCTTTCTAACCCTGCAGTTTTCATTAACCATATCTAAGATTTTTGTACATATTAAACAAAACTGAAAAATTATCAAGTTTTCCGAACTTACGGTTGCTGAAGGGGAAAGGATAGTTAGAGTTGGGTAAGACATGCACACATTCCTATTATTTAAAATAGATAACCAACAAGAATCAACTGTACAGCAGAGAACTTTGCTCAATGCTATATGGCAAACAGGATGGGAGGGGAGTTTGGGGGAGAGTGAATACATCTGCATGTATGGCTGAGTCCATGTGCAGTTCACCTGGAACTATTGAACACTGTTCAATCTGCTATACCCCAAAACAAATTTGAAAGTTTAAAACAAACAAAAAAAAATGAACAAGTTCTCCTTTGTACTCTAAGAAATTGTTCTTACTTTTGATACATTGGATTCTTCTGGGCAAGTTTTTCAGGAAGACCGTCTTCATCATCTAACTGTTCAAGTGGTTCCACAATGACTGGACGAGGAGTTCTAGCAACAAAATGGTTTCATCTTAATTTCGTTCCAGCTTTATTGCGATTTCTTCGAAATATTAAGTGTTACTAAGATAAACATAAAAACTTACGTTGTCAGTAAGAAAACACCTTCACTGCATCTTTCAAATGCTTTTCTTGCTGCTGGTTTGGAAGCAAATTCAACAATGCCTTTCCCTGTAGATCTTCCACGATCATCCACTATTACAACAGCCCTTTCAATAGGACCAAACTGGCTAAAGGCTTCTTCCAACAGTTCATTGGAAACATAAGGTGAAAGATTTCGAACAGAAAGGGCAGCAGCATGTGTAGCAAATCGAACCCGAAGCTGTCTACCTCTCATGGGTGTATCATCAAGTTCAGCTTTAGCTATTTCGGCCAACGCTCTAGACTCCTGCAACCATCAAAATATACAAAGTTAATGACCTCAAAACTGGCTAATGCCCACCCTAAAATTGCCAAAGTCTAACCCCACAATCCTATTCTTCTGCCAGCTCAGTTCAACTTATCTCCAAGAAGTCTTCCCTGACACTTACCCACCCAATCCCCCGTTTTAAATATTATGCACTATACAGCAGCTACATCTTTTCTGTGAGAGATGAAAACTTTGTAAAATTGTTGGTTCAACAAACACTATGTAGTAGTAAAAAGAGAAGTCCACCAGAAAAACACAAAAACCAAACTCACAAGCTTAATAAATCCAAATCCTTTGCCTTTGTTTATAAAAACTTCTCCCGGTTCTCCATATTTAGCAAAAAGTCTTTTGAATTCATCCTCCGTGATGTCTGCAGGTAGATTACCAACAAACAACCGACAACGCTGGGTGTAAGTTTTCTCTCCAGGCCTCCTCAGGAGTGACAAGTTGGCTTTAAACCCCTAGTATAAAAAAAGGCAACTTTCAAATACAAGGTACCTCTGCAAGTAGGAAGAAGCAATAGTCTTTTCCCCAAACTGAATATGTCACCTACCCAATCGGGTTGTTCTTCTATTGCATTTAAAGATCATATTACATGCCTAACCGAACTTCCAAAATAATCACTCGTAACATTAAAGAGCCTAAACCATCAGAATACTCTTGAGAAGACAAGTCTCTCCAGAGAGTAGGTTCTGTATCAGGAACCTCGTCAACCGTTTATACCTAACGTCCCTGACAGCATCAAAACTACAGTGAACAAAAATTAAAAGGGTGGAAGGGTATTAATAAAACGACTAAAACTGTTGTCAACGACGAAACCTGTGGCTACGCGTTAGGACAAAAAAATCGCCCGATCTCGTCAATCCCAAATTTCACGCTATATTCTTTACTCTGGACCCCAGAATCCGTTAGCTTTAACAGGGCCCATCAAACTTTCCTCAAGCCACCCTCTGCCAGCCCGGAGGCCTCCCCAGGGATGCCGCTAGCGGACCCGCGAGGCCGCCCCTCAGTCCCGCAGCCCCGCCCACCCACTCCCGCCTCCCGCGCGCAGGCGCCCTTTCCGGTCTCCGACAAAATGGAGGGTGGGGAGGGGGGCCGCCGCCATCTTAGGAAAACCAACGCGTAGCTCAGGTTGATACTCACCTCGGAGTCCGAAATTTTCTCTTCGCTGCGGCCGCCAGGCCCTCCGGGCGGCGGCCCTTGGTGGTGCTGCTGGTGGTAGGGTGGATGGTGTTGCCGGCCCCCACGGGGCTCCCCGCCACCTCGGTGCGGTGGCTTAGGGTGGCCGCCAGGAGTAGTTAGGCCCGGGCCGCCGCCAGGCTTCGGCCCGCCTGGCATTTTGCCGCCCTTGGGGCCGCCGGGTCCCGGGCCCTGCTTAGGCCCAGGCACCGGGCCCCCTGCAGGTGGTGGAGGCGGCGGGCCCCCAGCCTGAGGGGGGGTGCTGGGCACCCCACTGCTCGGCGGAGCCGGTGGAGGCGCACCTGGGGGGGCCGAGGTGACAGCGGGCGGCGGGGTCGGGGTGGGGCCTGGCCCCGTGGGGGCCCCCGAGGTCGGGGGTGTGGCGGGCGGCGCCGAGCCGGTGGCCGGAGGGGCGCTGCCTACTCCGGGAGCCGAACCGGGTCCTTGAGGAACGACAGACTTAGATGAGTCCTGTGGCGGCGGCGGCGGCTGCTGGTGCGGCGGCTGCTGATGGGGCGGCTGGTGCGGCGGGGGCTGAAGCGGCGGCGGCTGCTGCGGCGGCGGCTGCTGCGGCGGTGGCTGCTGCTGTTGCTGGTGCGGAGGCGGTGGCGGGATCTGAGGCTTGGGGCCACCTTGGCCCGGCACGGGCCCCATGGGTCCGCGATTCTGATTGAGGCCCATGCCGGGCGGCGGGGAGCGGAAGTCGTGGAGGCCGCCGCGGCCGCCTCCTCCTCCGCGTCGGTGGAAGCCACCACCGCCACCGCCCCGGCTTCGGAACCGGTCCCGAGACATGTCTGTGATCAAGGGGCGGTCGAGGCAAAAGCGGAGAAGACGTTTAGGGAACGTGGATGCCACCTTGCTTCGCACAAGATGGCGGATGACACAGGCGGCGCGCCGCCTTTGTCCTCTTCTTATATAGGGCGGCTGGCACGGCCCCGCCTACTTCTCGATATGTAGCTCCAATAGCCAATTGCAAGTGCTGTACTTGGTGACGCTACGTTACGAAGATTTCATCTCTCCTATTGGCTCTCGGTGAGAGGCGGGAGGAATGGAGTGGTTGAAGATTTCAGTCGGCCAATGAGCGGAAAAGGTGTTGTCTGTAGGCCACCGTGATTTGCTGGGAGTTATTTGAAAGGGTTCGCCAGAGCAATTTTCCCGTGAAAGCAAATAGCCAGGGCCCTATCAGCTTCTGGGGAGAGATGTTAGAAGACCCTTTTCTTTCTTGATTGCCCTTATGAGCAGCCTGCTGGTATCTTTCCCCAGAAAGAACAGTAGTCTCCAGTTCAAAAGCATAAATTAGCTTTGTGCTGGGCCAATGGAATTAAAGAAAATTTTACAGATTTCGTACACAGCATTTACTGATTTGATTTTGGAACCTCATTGGAGTATTGGTTCTAGAAGTATAAATGTCTCAATAGGCTTAAGTGAGTGTTCTCTTTGCTCAAAAAGGCCTTGATTTTGTGGTATATATATAGACTATTTACAAACACAAATCACAGAAGGAATTAAACATTTTTCTTAATTCTACCACAAAACACTTGATAAACAGATTAAGATACTTTAAAATTACCATATAAAATATATATATGGAATCAACCAATGGACAACCTTCTTATTTCGAAGTGCATGAGCCATTTCCCTTAATACCTCTCCTAATTAGTGTCATCTAGAGACCATCCTAAAGGAGATCAGTCTCGGGTGTTCATTGGAGGGACTGATGTTGAAGCTGAAACTCCAATACTTTGGCCACTTGATGAGAAGAAATGACTCATTTGAAAAGACCATGATGCTGGGAAAGATTGAGGGCAGGAGGAGAAGGGGATGACAGAGGATGAGATGGTTGGTTGGCATCACCGGCTCGATGGACATGGGTTTGAGTGGACTCCAGGAGTTGGTGATGGACTAGGAGGCCTGGTATGCTGCAATTCATGGGGTCGCAAAGAGTCGGACACAACTGAGCGACTGAACTGAATTGCAGAGACCTTTGGATGGATCATTCCTCTGGTTAATGTTAGCCCGTGGCTCATGTCTTCTTTTCTAATTCTGTACATCATTCACCATCTGAATGGATGACCACCCAGTAATACTCTGTCAGTCCTTTAACTCCTCACCTCCAGCCATCTTTCCTTCTATCCTATGTTAGCCACCCCACCCACATCGTAGTTAATCCTGTTTGTTATTGCCAGGAATAACATCCCTTATAAAAAAATTTCTACTTCGGAATCCCAGTCAACATTGTAACTTCTGAGTCTGACTTCATCAGAACCACTAAACCAGGACTTACCTGGCAGTCCAGTGGTTAGGCTTTCATGCTCCCACTATAGGGTTCACAGGGTTGATCCCAGGTTGGGAAACTAAGATCTCATATGCCATACAGTCAGAAAAAGAGAAACAACTCCAAAATTTTCACTTTCTCATTCATAACTGTGTCACCTAGTTTAGATGTTACAATTGCCATAACTCTCTCCATTATACTCACCTGGTAAAATTCCGTTTCTGGTTGGACCAAAGAATTCACCTTCTTTAACAAGGGCTGAGGCTTTCACTTTAAATTTTGACCACAGATCTCAAAAGGGCATTAGGCTTTTCCTGTCAATCTTACCGAATTTCCCTAGTGAGTTCACTTTCTCTCTTCCAGAGATAGTGTATTTCACGCTTTCTCTGTTCAAACTCCAACACTCTTCTGTCACTTCCCCATAACTAATGACTTCTCATATTTCTTCGAGAAAATAAAAATCACTAGATGGGAACATTCTCATCCAGCTAGAAGCCACCAAACTACTTGGATCTGCACCCATCATCTCTGACTTCCTTCCTGATATCATGAAAAGTGTATCTCTGCCCCTACCAAATGGCAAGCCCTAGGCCTCCACCTGCCACTCCTGCCCCAGTGATTTGGATTCCACGCTGCACAGCCCCCCCCCCCCCATGCCATCTCAGGGACTTTTCTTTGCTGTATCATCAGTTACTTCTACTGAATCATTTCCATCTTAAACAAAACTTTCTGTCTACCCTATCATTTCATTTCTTCCACTCTTCTTTGCAACAGCACTAAAATTGTTTATGCTCAGTTCAGTTCAGTCACTCAGTTGTGTCTGACTCTTTGCAACCCCATAGACTGCAGCATGCCAGGCTTCCCCGTCCATCACCAACTCGCTGAGCTTGTTTAAACTCGTGTCCATCGAGTCAGTGATGCCATCCAACCATCTCATCCTCCATCGTCCCCTTCTCCACTTGCCTTCAATCTTTCCCAGCATCAGGGTCTTTTCCAAGGAGTCAGTTCTTCACATCAGGTGGCCAAAGTATTGGATTTTCAGCTTCAGCATCAGTCCTTCTAATGAATATTCATAACTGATTTTCTTTAGGATGGACTGGTTTGATCTCCTTGCTGTCCAAGGGACTCCCAAGAGTCTTCTCCAACACCACAGTTCAAAAGCATCAGTTCTTCGGTGCTCAGCTTTCTTTATGGTCCAACTCTCACATCCATACATGACTGCTGGAAAAACCATAGCTTTGACTAGATGGACTTTTGTTGGTAAAGTAATGTCTCTGCTTTTTAATATGCTGTCTAAGTTAGCCATAACTTTTCTTCCAAGGAGCAAGTGTCTTTTAATTTCATGGCTGCACTCACCATTTGCAGTGATTTTTGGAGCCCAAGAAAATAAAGTCTGTCACTGTTTCCATTGTTTCTGCATCTATTTGCCGTGAAGTGGTGGGACCAGGTGCCATGATCTTAGTTTTTTGAATGTTAAGTTTTAAGGCAACTTTTTCACTCTCTTATTTCAGTTTCTCTTCACTTTTTGCCATAAGGGTAGTGTCATCTGCATATCTAAAGTTACTGACACTTCTCCTGGCAATCTTGATTCCAGCTTGTGCTTCATCCAGCCCAGCATTTTGCATGATGTACTCTGAGTATAAGTTAATTAAGCAGGATGACAATATACAGCCTTGATGTACTCCTTTCCCAATTTGTAACCAGTCTGTTGTTCCATGTCCAATTCTAACTGTTGCTTCTTGACCTGCATACAGATTTCTCAGGAGGCACTAAGGTGGTCTGGTATTCCCTTCTCTTTAAGAATTTTCCAGTTAGTTGTGATCCACACAGTCAAAGGTTTTGGTATAGTCAATAAAGCAGAAGTAGATGTTTTTCTGGAACTCTCTTGCTTTTTCTATCATCCAATGGATGTTGACAATTTGATCTGTGGTTCTTCTGCCTTTTCTGAATTCATCTTGAACATCTGGAGGTTTTCAGTTCACGTACAGTTGAAGCCTTGCTTGGAGAATTTTGAACATTAGGTTGCTAGATTGTGAAATGAGTGCAATTGTGCAGTAGTTTGAACATTCTTTGGCATTGCCTTTCTTTGGGATTGGAATGAAAACTGACCTTTTCAAATCCTGTGGCTGCTGCTCAGTTTTCCAAATTTGCTGGCATATTGAGTGCAGCACTTTAACAGCATCCTCTCCTAGTATTTGAAGTAGTGCAGCTGAAATTATGTCACCTCCACTAACTTTGTTCATAGTGATGCTTCCTAAGGCTCACTTGACTTCAGACTCTAGGGTGTCAGGTTCTAGGTGAGTGATCACACCATCATGGTTATCTGGGTCACAAAGATCTTTTTTGTATAGTTTTTCTGTGTATTCTTTCCACCTTTTCTTAATATCTTCTGCTTCTGTTAGGTCCATACCATTTCTGTCTTTTATTGTGCCCATCTTTGCATGAAATATTCCCTTGGTATCTAATTTTCTTGAAGAGATCTCTAGTCTTTCCCATTCTACTGTTTTCCTCTATTTCTTTGCATTGATCACTAAGGAAGGCTTTCTTATCTCTCCTTGCTATTCTTTGGAACTCTGCGTTCAAATGGTATATCTTTCCTTTTCTCCTTTGCTTTTTGCTTTTCTTCTTTTCACAGCTATTTGTAAGCCCTCCTCAGACAACCATTTTGCCTTTTTGCATTTCTTATTTTTGGAGATGGTCTTGATCACTGCCTCCTATACAATGTCATGAAACTCTTTCCATAGTTCTTCAGGCACTCTATCAGATTTAATCCCTTGAATCTATTTGTCACTTCCACTGTATATCCTAAGGGATTTGATTTAGGTCATACCTGAATGGTCTAGTGGTCTTCCCTACTTTCTTCTATTTAAGTCTTAATTTTGCAAGAAGGAGTTCATGATCTGAGCCACAGTCAGCTCCAGGTCTTGTTTTTGCTGACTATATAGAGCTTCTCCATCTTCTACTGCGAAGAGTATAATTAATCTGATTTTGGTATTGACCATCTGGTGATGTCCATGTAGAGTTGTCTCTTGTGTTGTTGGAAAAGGATGTTTGCTATGACCAGTGCGTTCTCTTGGCAAAACTCTTAGCCTTTGCCCTGCTTCATTTTGTACTCCAAGGCTAAACTTGCCTGTTACTCCAAGTATCTCTAGACTTCCTACTTTTGCATTCCAGTTCCCCATGACGAAAAGGACATCTTTTTTTGGTGTTAGTTCTAGAAGGTCTTGTCTATGCTGAGGGTCTCCGTTTCCTTACCTCTGTTGCGTCTTCAAACCACCTCAATCAGTCCACCCTCTGCTAAACTTGCCAAGGATACCAATGAGCCTGTTGTTGCCACTGCTACTGTTTTTGAGAAGCCGCTACTGTTTTAATTGCTAAGTTGTGTCCAACTCTTTGCAACCCCATGACTGTAGCCCATAAGGCTCCTCTGTCCACGTGGGATTTCCCAGGCAAGAATACTGGAGTGGGTTGCCCTTTCCTTCTCCAGGGCATCTTCCAGACCCAGGGATGGAACCCACGTCTCTTACACTGGTATGTCGATTCTTTATCATGGAGCCACCAGGGAAGCCCCCCAATGAGCTACATATTGCCAAATTCAATAAAAATTTTCTATACTATTTCTTTTTACCTGTTAGCAACATTCAACATAGA